AGGATCATTGCACAAAACTTGCACAAAAAATCATAGTCCCCCCCCCCCCCCCCCCCCCCCGCACCCCCCCCCCCAAGAGCAGACTCTTTGGGCCCCATCATACACCCGTCGCAATGCGGCGCTAGGCGCGACGAAAGGGTTTGCTAGTTTCAGCGGTGAGACTCTGATTGGTTTATTTCAAGTTACACCCAAAACACAGACACCCATTACTCATTAAAATAATATGGACAACCCTTTTAGACCATGCGCCGGGCGTGCCGACCATTTTCCCTTTCGTTAAACTAGCAAAAGACTTGCGTCGTGCGCTTTAGACATAGACTAAAGACTAAGATCGTTCAAATAGGGTCCTTTTAGTAGCGTCCTTTGTCCAACTGAACTAAATGGTTTTTATTTCTATAAAAAAGCAAAACGACAATGGGGGCGGTGCCGCGATGGGCAAGTAATCGGTGTACGGTCGAACACTGTTTAACACCGACTACCACAGCAAGCCTACATCCAGACCAGCAGTCTGAGATTGATGACACTGTACAGAAGTGGATTGATTCACAACATCAATGATGACCACCGTGACACCCATGTAAAGTAACTGCAACGACATAGCATCGATCATGCCTACTGCTGCCTGAAATTGCTGAGTAAGCATGCTGGTAAAACAGACTCACAAAACCGGAAACAAATGATTTAAAGTACCTACTCATGTTGACAACTGAAGTGAATAAAAGAGAGAAAATGAGACAGGCACTGGTTTAATCCAGCTGTATGGTATCCTGATATGTAGTGTGACCTAGAAAGCCCTTTTCGATGGGCTCAAAAGATAGGCCATGCTTGCATTTTCTTTTTTTGGTGTAGGGTAACAAAAGGCAAAGGCAAAATAGCAGCCAACAGCACTTTTACATAGGCATTGCTCACAAACACATTTGCACACAAAAACACAACAAAGCAGAGAGGTGGCCTGCTGTACAAATACAGACAGTACAGTTCAGCTAAAAAGAAACTTGAGTTGAGACTTGACTTGGACGTTAAAGTGAACATGTCCATTCAGTAAATTTACCGAGTTGACATCAATGCTAAAGTTCAAGAAAACAGATCCATTCCGATCCGTTAAAATCAAGGGGGGCGTTTCAAAGTTGGTGAGAACGCTAGACAGTGGACACGCATCATTTACTTGGGCTAACATGATCAAATTGACACCCTCTGGAGTCTGGGGCAGTTTTTTGGGGCACATTAATTCACATATACATAACTGTTTTTTATAAAAAATAATAATGTTGAGATTATTTTTTATTCAGAAATGATGCCAACCAAATATTTAGGCTCATAAGAAATGCAACGTATAGGCAACAAATGTTGGTAAAGAGATTAAAGTGTCCAACATTTACTCAAAACCAGATATGCCCTAATTGAGACTGAGGAGTCTGAAAACTGAGAGAATAATTATATGAAAAAATGGACAGACTTTGAGGTGGACAGAAAACAAACAAAGAAAAAATGAAGATAACCCATTATTTTTGTTTATAATTATCATAGTTTTGTTTTTGTAGATTAATGCAAGAAATTTCACTCACACTCACTCTCTCACACACACACACGTAACGTTATATATAATATATTCTGGAGACAGCAAGCCCTTAGGCAAACTAGATCGACCTATTATAAATTATGTAAACTAAAATATGGATGTATAACGTCGCAGTCCCTAATAAAGTTACCAGTCTCAATTGACAACATATTTTATTTGTTAGTACCACATGATTTCTCGCCAAGGTAAATAATAATAAAATGCCCACTACATGTTACGAATATTTTCATGGTATCACATTAATCCTCGTTACACCAATAATGCACATAACAAAACACACCACAGCCTTTCAGGTGATCAAAACAGAGCACTTGCGCGCGATGTTAGCGTTAGCAGCTCAGCTTTGTCCAAGCCCATGAGAGATGCAAAACCGATTAAAAGACCGTTTACCTGTGTATATCAAGCACTAGCGCGGCGTCTCTCTGATTTCGGTCCGTATGTTTCTCTTCCACTGTATTGTTACATCGCATGCGTCGCTCAACGGCTATTATCTGCAACGGCTAATATGAATAACGGTAGGCGAGACAGGTTCAGTTGTTTGTAAATCTCAGAACGATGCACCCAGCGTGCGCGTTTCCTTGACAGCGTCGAGTCTTCTGCTAGAGCAAGATAAACGCTGCCCTGCGCGCATGCGCAGACTCTAGCCGTGACCACCTCCCACCAAAATAAGGACCGACTGGAGCAGCAGAGAAAGAAAATAATTAGCACTTTACCTCAGAAATCTTTACAAAATAACACAGAGGACGGTCCAATAAGACTGCATTGCGTTGTTCCATTATGTAGGCTACTGTCGTTTGATAAATGCCAGTTACGGTTGAACCCATTATAAGCACAAACAGGTAAAGACAGATTAATGGGCTTTTCTAAACAGAAATGTCCCCACTGCGGGGATGTTAGGAATATATTTTTGTAAATTACTGTGTAAATTAAAATTGTGAAAATTTGAGTTCAGAGTAGGCCTATGCATAATTAGTTTCTTGTTCCGTACATTTGTATTTCTATCAGTAGATGGCAGCACCGTTAAGTAGGCAGGCTATATTTATACATGATATAGGTATAGGCCTATATATATATATATATATATATATATATATATATATATATATATAGGCTACACTTAAATATATATGAATACACAAACATACATATAAATATATATGTTCAATACAAGTATTGCCTTGTTAAATATATATAATTTATTTTACAGAAATTGTACATCTCTTGATAATTTTATATATATATATATATGTATATATATATATATATATATATATATATTATACATACATACATACATGTATATACATATTTATTCCAAAGACGTACATTTTCTGTAAAATATTTTAGAAGTAAACATGTATATAATATTTATAAATTAATATAAACATGTAACAAGGCAATACTTGTATTTAAGCACAATTTTGATTAACTTTACATCATCGTGTGGCTTTTAATTTTACAACCTGCGTTATTGCCAGCAGTTTACACCAAAATCATTTTAAGAGTTTGTAAAAGAGGTATTAACATTATATAATTTACTGACATTAATTCCATGCTAGTTACTTAAACTGTATTTATAAGATGAATTGTTTTTTTCTAGTCTGAGCCTCTGAGGTAAAATATCTAAACAGATGGCTTATAGATGTCATTTCCACAAAACGATTTAAGATGTAAAGATTTCCCGCCCATTGATGCATCTGGCGCTGTCCATGGTCCTGGAATCAATTTGATTCCATTGTAGGTAGATGTACCCAAACACTTAAAGATATGTTTAAATCTACAAAACTTTACAAACACAATGACCACCACAGTGAGGTTTATTGCAGAATGAATGATAATATTTTTTTTTATTAAATAAATAGCAGCTTCACCAAATGATAACATTGTGAGGATGGTGGGAGTTTTTTAACAACAAAAAAAGAGGATCTGGTAAAACATTTACAGGCTATGGTATAAAAATGGTAGTTTGAACAAGGGCAGGTGATACAGGAGAAATTCTAAGGTTCTACACAGGAAAACAGCAAAAATGTACAGCTTTATACATTATATATCCATAGACATCCTCAAATGAGCATTTTTGGTCTTACTGACCAACATCTGTTGCCATGGAGAGTTTGTCCATAAAAAAAGTAAATTGTTTTAGTACTCTTGTCTGTTGTGCACTTTTGCTGCTTCTCTCATTCTGTTATGACCACTTGAGGCAGCACACAACTAGCCTTACATTCACAGGACAGCGTGTTCCCCAGAGCTAGAGGCAAATCACTTTAATGCCTGCTGAAAAGAAATCCTTGAGAAGCAGTTTGGACTGGACTAAAGCTCAAACTGCATTACATAGCATTAAAGATGCAAATTGAAATTCTTGATCAAAGTTTTATGTTAGGTATAGGCATCTTTGCACAACTGATTTAAGGCTGCTCAGTGCCTGCTCGTAATGCTGCACAAAAGCCAGACTAAATTTTGCCTGCTCTGACCCACCTTATCCCCTACTATAAATGTATTCTATTGAAATTGCTGTGTAAATAGATTTATTCCCCCTCTGAGCAGCATTAAACAGTTTGTGTAAAGACACCTAACCACCACTTCAAAAGCGCTTCTGTGCCACCTTTACAGTGTAAATTTGGCATACGACTTTCACCCCATTGTTCTGTTAGGTCTGGTTTGCTATAGGTCACTGTGAGAAGTGGTTTGCAGTCATTTCCTCTGTATTGTTAGGCCAGGAAATAAGATGTGACCCCCAACTGTATAATCGTTTTACTGCCACTCAAATAATTCAGCATGTCGTACTGGAGGTGTTTACAAGTTACACACACAAATGTATTTAGATAGCTTCATCCATATTGTAATGCAACAAGCTTGGATGACACAGTAAAGGTGATGATACACAGGGCAACTTTTTGAGCAATGTTGCTGGGCAATGTTGCCGTCAATGGGCAACCAGATGAGACACAGGGCCCACGACCGATCTAAAGTATCCAGATAGACATGTATTGCCCATTTTCAATGGGAAAGTACCCAAGCAACAATCGCTCGTCAAGATTGCCCAGCAACATTGCTCAAAAAGTTGCCCTGTGTCTCATCACCTTAACTCTTTTTTGGATTCACACTATGTTTTTTTGTAATTATTCAACTGACCACATGAGGATGCTATGACTCTATCTTACACAAACTGCTGTCTCATAATGTCCAATGCTGCTTTAGTAAAAGACCGGGTGCTCATGCAGTACTTAATGGCATTCAAACATCTGAACCTGTTAACACACACACACACACGCACACGCACACACACACACATTCCATCTCCCTTTTCCGACCTTGGTCAGATTATTGTTTCTGTAGCTAACTCAGCATACATTCTATGCTGTGATACAGTCGATGAGAGTTACAACTTCTAGTAAGTGTGACATCTCAAGATCTAAGCTCTGTCACACCTGTCCTATGTTCCAGGTCAAACTAAAATATATTTTTCAGACACTGCTGGTGTGTTCTGTGTGATTGTGACCGCTGCTGATGGAGAGCTCTGATATTCCCAGTTTCAGCTCCAGTCCGGGGTCAGTGTCCATGTCATGGGGCTCCAGATTTCGGATTCCGTTCCCGTCCCCATTGCGGCAGTTACTGTTCCGGTCAATCGAAACTTTTTCGCAGATCAGGATAGGCGTGACAGCATGGGATGGACAAGGAACGTGTATAGCGATGGGTTTAAGCCCCACCTGTCTGTACTGGCAGTGCAAGTAGCTTGAAAATGCCCTTCGGTAGGTCTTGTTAAACAAAGTGTACACTAAAGGGTTGACACCTGATGAGATGTAACCCACCCAAACGAAAACATTGAGCAGTTCCGTGAGCAGAGGCTCGTTGCAGGCTCCACGGCAGAGGACATACAGAACGTTAGTGATGAAAAAGGGACACCACATGAAAAGGAAGAGGAAGAACACTACACCCAACACTTTGGATGCTCGCCGCTCGTTCTTGATGGCCTGCATCATGCCTCGCCGCCCGCGGGCTCCACTCGGGTCCCGTCCAGCGGGCGAATTCATTTGAGACGGCGCTTCTGAACCTGGGATTATTGAGATGGTGTCCGGGGGCACGGTCAGACCGAGCGCGTTTCCATCGCTGTTGCTGATCCGTAGACAGTTCAGACTGCTGCGACGTGATGGAGCCGACGACGGCTCCAACTGGGAAGTAGGTGGAGCTGGAGGCTGCAATGGCTGCTGAGAAGAGGCTTTGCCCTCGTAGAGGAAGACTGTGGCCTGACGCTGAAGTGCTTGGACAGTGAGACAATACGTGACCACCATGATGACCAGAGGAATGAAGAAAGCAACAAAAGAGCCAACCAGTATGAAGCGTTCCTCGTTCAGAGCACAGTTGTCGTTGATAAGGACCTTATCTCTGTTACGCAGTCCGATCACTGGGATAGGCATTGAGATACCTGGAGTTGGGGAAAAGTAAGAGAGAGAATATTGAACAAATATACGTAAACAAACACCAAAGAAACAGTCTGACTAACAAAGTCTGAGACAGATGCTGGAGACAAGAGACCAACGGGCTCAGGGAATTCTGAGACAAATCTTCTCTCTTATCTGAGTAGATCAGTATTCCTGATGGTTGAGAGAGAGAGAACATTTTATTTAATTAGAGCAGATGAATGAGATTGTCAAGGCAGATAGAAACCTTAATGCTGTTTTGGATCCAGATAAGAATCAAATAAACATTGGGCTCAAGTTCAAACTAGAGAGAGGTTAGATGTGTGAACTCTCTGTCATCTGCACTGTCATTACTAAGTCTTTAGCAAATAAGACAAGAACCTTCTATGGAGAAAAGAGATGAACAGGAGACAAAGAGAAACATAAAAGGAGGATAGAAAGAACATTGTTGCTATTGTAAACTATTAAAAAAAACTGAAATAAATTAAAATATAAATATCTAATGAAAAACCTAAATGAAATGCCTTGGCAACTAGCTGAATAAATAAAAAAATAACTTTATATCAATAAAAGATCATTGAAAATATTAATAAAAACCATAATAGTATAGAAAAAAAATACTAAAATACCTACACCACACTCTGAGATGGAAACAATAGAGGAAGGGAAAGCCTATGTGGGTGAGAGAAAGAGAGACACTATGTCCAAGAGAGTGTTTAGGCTTGCATTAATTTCAAAGAAAAACAGGGAAAGAAGAGTTTATTTTTCTATAAATAAGTCCACTAAAATCATTAACCCTTCAAACACCAGTTGTATCAATCAATCAATAAATTCAGACAATCCTTCAACTCTGCTGTTGGATCAGATCAGTCATGGTCACTCTACATTAGAGTCACACGACTCTAGAGGGCGCTAATGCAGAAGCATGCCAATCCTTTAGCATTCCACACACAATGGCAGGCTGTGGTTTACTGTATTGAACCGTAGGTGGTGATCTTCACTATGTTATTACCAGACCACAAACATTAAATTAATCTAAGCTACTCTGAATTTAGAGGAGCTGCTCTGGTGATGGAGAAAATCACCACAATCACCAAACCGGTGCTTGTTTATACAATGTCATTTCAAATCATTTCCATTGTTGCTGATCCGACGGGCCTCTTAGACCCAGCTGGAGCCTTGAAAAAAACATAATCTGGCATTCTGAGGAGTCCTGTGAGATATGAACACATTCCAGTAATAGATTCAAGAGGATTGCAGTGGACTGACATTGACTTCAGTGGCTATAATGGTACAACTGTTCAATCTAAAGACCTCTACTGTCATTGGAAAATAATGTTGTGTTTGTCCTTTCTTTTCTCCTGCAGGATTTTCAGGCTACTTCTCTGCTGGTTATCTGGGATTGCCGCACCATTCCAGGCATCTACATGCTTGTTTTTGTAAGAAATAATCAATGATATTATAAATGTTTCTCTGACCTATTGAAATGGTCCAAACTGCAGCGATCTTCAGCATGGCCTTGGTGCGGGAGTTGAAGCGACTGTGCTCAATCGGATTGCGTATGGCCACGTAGCGGTCGAGGGAAATGGCACACAGGTGCATAATGGAAGCAGTGGAGAAAAGCACGTCCAGATATATCCAAATAGGACAGAGAGCACTGGGCAATGGCCAGGCATAATCTGGAAATATACAGAGAGAGAGAGAGAGAGAGAGAGAGAGATTGCTTTGAAAACATATTTAATAAAACACATGAAGAAAAAGAAAGACAGAAAGAAAGAGAGAAATAAAGAAAGGATAGATAAGAGAGACAGAAGGCAAAGTGGTCCTGCATGGCAGATCACATTATTAAAGTCCAGACAACTGACTTCAGACCAAGAGCTAAAAAAGACTGTTATGTCAGCAAGCTTAAAATAACCAACATTAAGAAACAGTCAGGTTATGTAAAAAGAAAGTCATTTAGAGTTGTGTAGGTTCAAGGATGAGAGAGAGAGAGAGAGAGAGAGAGAGAGAGAGAGAGAGAGAGAGAGAGAGAGAGAGAGAGATATACACACAGTCACACTGGGTCTTCAGAGATAATACCAGAATTATAAAACAGAACTGGTTCTTATTTGTTAGTTTGTTTTCCAGCTTGCTACAATGCTCAAAACAGGGTGATGTGAAACACCTGCATTATTTGCGTAAAACAATGATTTCATTTAATGAAATGTGTCCTTAATGTGACTTAATAAAACTAGATTTTTAGAGTGGTTTTGTCTGTCGCCGCCAAGATGTTATGATGTTGTGGGTGGCTGCCAGTGAATTGCTATGCAGTTGCTAGGATGTTTTGGGTTGTTACCAGGACATTTGCCCATGTGTTTCTAAGTGCTAGGTGGTAATCTACTGGCTCAGATCGAAAGAACCCATCCCTAAACCTCATCATTTGAGTTAGCATTCATGTCTATTTAAGGCAAGCTGCTCGTCGACTATTGTAATAGTGATGTTAGCTTTAGCAAGCACCTCTAATATATATATATATATATATATATATATATATATATATATCAAGAGTTTCTGACCAACTTTCAAGTTCTTGTTAAATTTTAGTTCCATGTGAGACTGGTCTTGAGACCATTTTTTGAAGGTCTTGGTCTTTTTTGAAGAACTTACTCTAAATTGTGAAAACACCAAATGTATTTGTTGACATAATTCATGTGATTGGACGTACTAATTGTACTAATAAACTGCCAGGTCAGAAATGAACAGGGTGAAAAATGTCACCAAAATGAATACAAATGCCCACAAAATTCAAGACATGATTGAACTGTTTTTTTTATAAGAGCAAGAGGTCTGTTTGAAGTGCGACTGCAAACGTGATATTGATTTTTATAAAAAATAGATTTTAAAAACATCTTTGCACTGCCACTCTGCAATGCAAAGATGAATTGTGTTCATTCTTGCACAGCTTTGGTCTTGACTTTGTCTCGGTTTAGGTGGTCTAGACTACAACCTGTAGTAATTGATACGCTTTTAGGTGACAGAAGTGGCAAAATGAAAACATTCCTCAGAAAGGACACGCTGTAATGCAGGGTCAGATACTCTTACAGCAAGGTCTACAGGTCTGGAGGGGCATGTCTGAGGGTTCGGAAGACATTAGCACCACACGAGGTGTGAGTCATTGTCAATTTAACATTTTATTGAAGCCCAGGGAAAGAGCAGGCACTCCAATCATGGGCTGAATGAGACTGGTCCGAATCCAGACAGCATTTTAGAGCTCAGAACACCTGGACTGGAGATGAGGGAAACGTCTGATGCCAAGTTAGCGAAATTAATGATAATAGAGTTCTCTGCCAGCGTGGGACCAGCAAGTGTTCTGACACAGATGGCAAGTGAGGGGTTTCCTCTCCTCGTTTATTTGTCCGTATCGTTTGTTTTTTTCCATTCAAGTTCTGCTGTCCACAGCACATGCAATTACACCAGTCCTAAATGAGAGGAGATATGTGAGGTTACAGATTACGGTGTTAAATAAGGGGCAAGAGAAAAAGACAAAGTGGGATAAAGAGGAGAGGCAGAAAATAAAAGACAGACTTGTGGATTAACAAAGTGATCACAATACATCACTGATTTAACACTGTTTTGTCACATTCTGTTGTGCATGCAGCTCTTCAACTGGAGCAATAATCAAACATTCTTCCAAAATATCTTTCATGTAACATTGGGAATTTCAAATCATATTAGTGAATCAATTAGTTTAAATGGTTCATGTCATTTGAATACTTGTGCAGAAATTCCTGCACAGCTTTTTACATATTCCTTTATGTAGCAAAATATTTAAAAATATTCTAAATTAAAAAAAAAAAAAAAAGTCTCCTTTAACAACCTGTGTTTACATATTACAGACAACTTTTTTAACATAATTAACAGGGCATGGGGGGCAACATTTCCTCACATGTTAACATGCAACTTCATCTGCATGTTGATGACAGAAAGCACACAATTTAACTGTCTTTCATCCCTTGATTGGTCCAGCTGCATCCGGCCCTTTGCATCTTGCTTTGATTAATTGGAACAACTGATAACTCAGCCCTGATTTACATGTTTAGTAGATTAATTTCTCTCTTAGACAGACAGACAGAGACGGAGTGTTGGAACACTACAGAGACATGAAAAAACAACTGTTGCTTTCTGTACATCACAGATATAACTGAAAGTTAATGAACTCCTTAGGCTCTTTCAACAATTTTCAGACATCCATGATGAACAACTTAGCTTCTTTTTAAACACACATTTTCTCTCAGTGATAAATGTGGACTCTCTAATGATAAGTCTAATACTTATCTAATAATGCTCCTGTAGCTCAGAAAGTAGTGCTAGCGACATCAGGATTAATGGTTTGATTTCAAGGGAACATGCATGCGTGCAAGTATATATAGTTTAAATGTACTTGATTTTGCTGTCAAATGCATAAATGTAGATGTTTAATATCCCATATTTTAACATCCAAAGTAATATCATTCAGCAAACTGAACAATTAAACCACTGTTAATAAAATTAGGATAAAACAACACACTCTAATGGCAGTTTTGAACTAATTTACATTTAGACAAATAGGTGGTGAATTTGTACGAATTATTATTACCTAATTCACCCCAATGAGGGTTAGATTTAGCAGTGCGGTTAGGGATGGAGCTTTTGCGCTAAAAAAATGCCACCAATTCACCAAACTGTAAAATAATTTCATTTTCTCTTGAGATCAGGTTGGATAGGAATATATACAGTGCCTTGCGAAAGAATTCAAACCATGTAAAAAAAATGTTTATGTTGCTGCCTTATGTTAAAGGGATAGTTTACCCAAAAATGAAAATTAGCCCATGATTTACTCACCCTCAAGTCATCCTAGGTGTATATGACATTCTTCTTTCAGACAAATACAATACAATCGGAGTTATATAAAAAAAATGTCCTGGCTCTTCCAAGCTTTATAATGGCAGAGAATGGCTGTATATTTTTTGAAGTTTTAATAAAGGCCTTCTGAAGCGAAGCGATGCGTTCATGTAAGAAAAATATCCCTTGCCCTTGACACACAACGTAATGACGAACACGGAAGCGCAGAGGATAGAGCAAAACAAAACACCATTCACGAATTAGAAGTCTAAAACGAACATTTTTAAAGAGAAATGTCGGAGGAGCTTGAGTTTGTTGCCTAGCCCTGTTTGTTTGAACCGCGAGAGGCGTCAAAGTTTACGCTAGTCCTACAGCCATATAGTCAAGTGTTACTCTTATGGCTCAAGTTGACTTGCGTAGGCCGTGGCAGCGCACACACTACATAAAGGTAATGCTTTCAAACGCTTGAGTGAGGACTGCTGTGCCCGCCCTTGCAATTAGCACAACAAAAGCAAATATCCTGCAAATGGGAGAAATTGAAACTACACTGTTGGACAGAGCTACACTTAAATGCAATAAAAAACAACTGCAACACTTATCAGACGCGGCTGTTATTCAAAATAGGAATGCGTGTAATTAAAATACAGATTATTGTGAAGGTAAAAATAAAAAATAAGAAGAGAATCGAAAATAGCCCTACCTAGTAGCAAATAGTAAACTAAGCAACAACAGAACACTTCCGCGCTCTCGCTGTGTTCACCGACTGACCGCTTGTCCATATAGACAAGTATTCAAACTCTTAACTCAGTACTTAGGTAAAGCACCTTATAACCACAGTAAATAACCACAGTAAAGTGTGGTGGTGGCAGCATCATGCTGTGGGGGAGATTTTCAGCCACAGGGACTGGAGGACTCATCAGAGTAGAAGGAAAGTATAGGTTAGCCTTATTGAAACCTAGTCCGGAGTATTCAGAACCTCTGACAGTTCCAACAGGACAATGACCCTAAGCACACAGCTAAGACAATGCAAGAGTGGCTTATGGAGAACTCTGTGAATGTCTTTGAGTGGCCCAGCCAGAGCCTGGGCTTGAACCCAATTGCACATCCTTTGAAGAAACTTATCTTTTGAAGAAAATATCTGTCCACCGACGGTCCACATCCAACCTGACAGAGCTTGAAAGGATCTGAGGAGAAGAATGGCCTAAAATTGCCAAATGCGGATGTGCAAAGCTTGTCACATCATACCCAAAAAGACTTGAGGTTGTAAAGGTGCTTTAACTAAATACTGAGTTAAGAGTTTGAATACTTGTGCAATGTTGTGCAATTTATTTCAGGTTTTCCTTTTTTTTTTTTATTGCAATGTTGTCACAGATCTGTTTTTGAAGGGGTTTCTGAAAAATTAAGGGGTCTGAATACTTTCGCAAGCCACTATATATATATATATATATACACTACCGTTCAAAAGTTTGAACGGTAGTGTATGTATTGTACCTATTACACAAAACAATAAATGTAATGGTTAAAGTCATAGAAATAAATGTAAACATATGATATTTATAAATACAATAATTTAAATAATTTTGTCAAACGGGCTGGAAAAAAAGTGGCTAGAGTTGATGTGCAGCGTAACATTATAAATAGGAACTCGACCTTAATAGGCCCAGAACCACCCTTCAGATGTAAGACAGAATTGGTTTGTGAGATGTCTATCGGTTCAACACCATCTGAGCGGCTGAGTATCAGTATATAGCTCCTCTTAAACATATCTTGGCACTGTACGTTCCCAGAGGTAATCAGTCTAATGCTTCTCTCTGATTTC